ATTGAAAACCCTCTTAAATATACATAGCTACAAATTAGTAAGGCATATTCTTTTAAAATGAGGATACATCAGCCTTTTTTATTCAATTTTTATTTACAGTTTATCAATAAATTTTTTATTTTTATTTTTTAATGCGCATTCGAATTGCAAAATGTTTGAACCAATTTTTGTGTTGAAAAGTGTCTAATGCAAATGGTTTACTTTTTTTAAACGATATTAATATTACTAGAAAATATTTTTTCAGTGATACCTCGGAAAAAGTCGCTTCAGAAATGACTGAGTATAAAGTGAGTATAAATTATTTTAAAAATTAGTTACACTAAAAATATTTTAAGATAATGCAAGCGCAAAATGACACTGAAGATGGCACAGCGCCGAAACCGGTTTGTCTACAAACCAAATTTGAGACGGAAATTCGTTCCAAAATACATCATAGAACAAGCGGCCAATTAAAAAAGGTTTATTTTAAAATGAATCAAAAAGACAACATTGATTTTTGAGATTTGTTTTGCTGAGGATATTGAGGTACGCATAAAAAAAGAGTTTGTGCTCATACATTATATGGAAGAAAATGCGCATCACCCTCGGCAATATAAAATTCTCAAAAATCAACTGTAAGTTTCAGCGACCTGAAACTTGCTGTTTCTTATGCAAAAATTTAAAGGGCTCTAATGCGAAACTGCATTCTTATAGTTTTTAATTTTTAATAAAATGTCTTCGTATTTTTTGCATTTATGTATGAAATTAAAAAAAAAAATATTCTTATAAATTTTTTGTGTTAAATGAACTATATTTTTATTAAAAACTAGCCAATGCCCGCTAACTTCGCGGCGCCTAATAAGAGCTTTTGCGTTAGCCAATGCAAAAGAGCGTTTAAAAACAAAATTAGTCTGTAAAGTCAAAGTTTTTGATTTAAGTTGAAACCACTAAGGCGCAGTATCCTCCTCACACATAGGCAAATAGTAGTAACGCTGTGATACCATATGGAATACCAATCCCTTTTGGTGTCATGAGCTTTACTGATGGTCTTATTTTCACCTGTGAGATCTCTGCCAATCATGCGTAATCTTTTTGTATGATCTTACGTATGCCAATAAAAGTTCTTATAGGGAAACTCAAGAGCACAGAAGTGCATTTTCTTTATAGGAAGGCCAAGAATCCTCGCTGTCCCATAGGATGAAAAGTTTTCCGGTACATTGCTAAAT